ACCTCGTCGCGTACCATGACTCGTTGTTGCCTTCCTGTCAGATATTCTCTGATCATTGCAGTGCCTTTCCTGTTATGTGTGCCTGGTCCTCTAGCTTTTGCAGTAACCTCTTGTGAGGAACTGTGTCGAAGGCCTTCCCTTGCAGTCCAAAAATACGCAGTCGATCCACCCCTCTCTCTCTTGTCTTACTTCTGTCACCTTGTCATAAAACTCTAGTAGGTTTGTGACACAGGATTTTCCTTCCCTGAAACCGTGCTGGTTGTCAATTATACACTTGTTTCTTTCCAGGTGCCCCACCACTCTCCTCCTGATGATCTTCTCCATGACCTTGCATACTATACACGTTAGTGATACGGTCTGTAGTTTAGTGCCTCATGTCTGTCTCCCTTTTTAAAAATTGGGACTACATTTGCCATTTTCCATACCTCAGGGAGTTGCCCAGTTTCAAATGATGTGTTGAAGATCTTTGTTAATGGCTCACACAATATCTCTGCTCCCTCTTTAAGGACCCATGGAGAGATGTTGTCTGTCCCACCGCCTTTGAGGTGTCAAGTTCGCATAGCAGCTTCCTCACCTCCTCCTTGGTTATATGTACCTCATCCAGCACTTGCTGGGGTGCCCCCCTGTTTCTGATTTCTTGGAGTCCTACTGGTTTCCACTGTAAATACCTCTTTAAATCTTGTGTTGAGCTCCTGACATACCTCTCGGTCGTTTCTTGTGAATTCCCCATCACCCTTCCTCAGTCTGATTACCTGGTCCTTGACTGTTGTTTTCCTCCTGATGTGGCTGTACAACAGCTTCGGGTCAGTCTTTACTTTTGATGCTATGTCATTTTCATATTGTCTCTGAGCCTCCCTTCTTATCTGTGCATATTCGTTTTCTGGCTCCTCGGGTGATTTCTTTATTTTCCTGAGTTCTCTGTCTTCTGTACCTTTTCCATTCTCTAGTACACCTAGTTTTTTGCCTCCCTACACCTTTGGGTGAACCAAGGACTCGTTCTGTTCTTCCCATTATTTCTGTTTTCCCTTGGGAACAAACCTCTCCTCTGCCTCCTTGCATTTTGTTGCTACATAGTCCATCATTTCTTGTACTGGTTTTCCTGTCAGTTCCCTCTCCCACTGAATGTCTTGAAGGAAGTTCCTCATGCCTGAGTAGTTCCCCCTTTTGTAGTTTGGTTTTTTTCCCAGCCTATTCCTGCTACTCTCTCCACTTGGAGCTCAACTATGTAGTCGAAGCACAGAACCACATGATCACTAGCTCCCAGGGGCCTTTCATACATGATACCCTCGATGTCCGAACTACTCATGGTGAATACAAGGTCCAACCTTGCTGGTTCATCCTCTCCTCTCTCTCTGGTAGTGTCTCTAACATGTTGATGCATGAGGTTCTCCAGTACCACATCCATCATCTTGGCTCTCCATGTTTCGGGACCCCATGGGGCTCCAGGTTTTCCCAGTCAATCTCCTTGTGATTGAAATCGCCCATAACTAGTAACTTTGCTCCCCCCATGTGTGCTCTCCTGGCCACCTCGGCTAGTGTGTCGATCATTGCTCTGTTGCTCTCATCGTATTCTTCTCTTGGCCTCCTGCAGTTCTGTGATGGGTTGTACATTACTGCAATTATCACCTTATGTCCCTCAGACTGGATTGTTCCTACTAAGTAGTCCCTTTCGCCCATGCCATCCATTCCTTCCATTTTCTCAAAACCCCACTGGTTTTTAATGAGCAGTGCAACTCCTCCTCCACCTCTCCTCCCTCTGTCTTTCCTGAGGATTTGATATCCGGATGGAAAGATTGAATCTGTTTATTATTCTGGTGAGTTTTTGTTTCTGTGAGTGCTATTATGTCTGGGGATGTCTCTTTGATTCTTTCGTGTCACTCCTCAAACTTGTTTGTTATTCCATCTGCATTTGTATACCACACCTTCAACTTCTTTTCTAAGACTGTGTTCTGGGAAGTATATTGGGGTTGGGGAAGTGGGAGACCTGGTAAGGAAGTATGGGTTGTTGCTGTGGGGGTGAAGTTTGTAATGTAGTGGGTGGGGGGCATTGGATGTGGCATGGGTGTTTTGATTTAGAGTGTTTGGTTGCACTGGGGTTGACCTGGTTGGGAGGCTTCTATAGGAAGTTGTGAGGGAGGCTGTATTTGATCTTCTTCCTGGGTCTGGGATCTCCTGTCTGTCTTCTCCATCCCCTCTCTTTCCTCCTTTTGTGCTTGTGTGTGTGTGTGTGTGTTGTGTGTGTGGTGTAGTCACCTATTTGTTGTTGCAGGGGTCGAGTCTTATCTCCTGGTCCCGCCTCTTCACCGGTTGCTACTGGGTCCTCTCTCTCTCCCTTCTCCATGAGCTTTATCATACCTCGTCTTAAAACTATGTATGGTTCCCGCCTCCACTACGTCACTTTCTAGGCTATTCCACTGCCTGACAACTCTATGATTGAAGAAATACTTCCTAACATCCCTTTGACTCATCTGAGTCTTCAACTTCCAATTGTGACCACTTGTTTCTGTGTCCCCTCCCCGGAATATCCTGTCTTTGTCCACCTTGTCTATTACGTGCAGTATTTTATATGTCGTTATCATGTCTCCCCTGACCCTCCTGTCCTCCAGTGTCGTCATGCCGATCTCCCTTAACCTTTCTTCATAGGACATTCCCCTTAGCTCTGGAACTAACCTTGTGGCAAACCTTTACACTTTCTCTAATTTCTTGACGTGCTTGATCAAGTGTGGGTTCCAACAGGTGCTGCATACTCCAGTATAAGCCTGACGTACACGGTGTACAGTGTCTTGAACGATTCTTTGCTAAGGTATCGGAACGCTGTTCTCAGGTTTGCAAGGCTCCCATATGCTGCAGCAGTTATCTGGTTGAAATGTGCTTCCGGAGACATGCTCGATGTTATACTCATACCATGATCTTTCTCCTTGAGTGAGGTTTGCAGTGTTTGGCCACCTAGCCTATACTCTGTCTGCGGTCTTCTGTGCCCTTCCCCTATCTTCATGACTTTGCATTTGGCGGGATTAAATTCGAGAAGCCAGTTGCTGGACCAGGTGTCCAGTCTGTCCAGGTCTCTTTGAAGTCCTGACTGTTCCTCATCTGATTTAATTCTCCTCATTAACCCTTCCATCATGTCGCTCACATATACCAAAAATAGCAGTGGTCCTAGGACCGACCCCTGTGGGATCCTGCTCGTCACAGGTGCCCACTGTGATACCTCATTACGTACTATGACTCGTTGTTGCCTCCCTGTCAGGTATTCCCTGATCCATTGCAGTGCCCTTCCTGTTATATGCACCTGATCCTCTAGCTTCTGCACTAATCTCTTGTGAGGAACTGTGTCAAAGGCCTTCTTGCAGTCCAAGAAGATGCAATCAACCCACCCCTCTCTCTCGTGTCTTACTTTTGTTACTTTATCATAAAACTCCAGAAGGTTTGTGACACAGGATTTGCCTTCCATGAATCCATGCTGGTTGGCGTTTATACTCTTGTTCCGTTCCAGGTGTTCCACCACTCTCCTCCTGATAACCTTCTCCATAACTTTGCATATTTTACACGTCAGTGACACAGGTCTATAGTTTAGTGCCTCTTTTCTGTCTCCTTTTTTAAAAATGGGAACTACATTTGCCGCCTTCCATACCTCAGGTAGTTGCCCAGTTTCCAGGGATGTGTTGAAGATTGTGATAAGTGGCACACACAGCATATCTGCTCCCTCTCTAAGGACCCACGGGGAGATGTCCAGTCCCATTGCCTTTGAGGTATCAAGGTCACTTAGTAGCTTCTTCACGTCCTCCTCAGTTGTATGTATGTCATCCAGCACTTGTTGGTGTGTTCCCTGTTGGTGTCCCCCTCTCTCCTGTTTTCCCAGAGCGCTTCCTGTCTCCACTGTGAATACTTCCTTAAATCTCATGTTGAGCTCCTAATATACCTCTTGATCGTTTCTTGTGAGTTCCCCACCTTCTTTCCTCAGCCTGATCACCTGGTCTTTAACTGTTATCTTTCTCCTTATGTGGCAATGCAGCAGTTTCGATGCTATGTCGTTTTCAGACTGTCGCTGGACCTCCCTCCTTATCTGTGCATACTCGTTTCTGGCTTTTCGACTGATCTTATTTTCCTGGGTCCTTTGCCTTCTGTACCTCTTTCATTGTTTATTGCACTTAGTTTTTGCCTCCCTACACCTTTGGTCTTCCCATTGTTTCTGTTACCCTTGGGAAGAAACCGTTCTTCTGCCTCCTTACATTTTGTTGTTTCATATTCCTTCATTTCATTTACTGACTTTCCTACCAGTTCTCTGTCCCACTGAACCTTCCACAAGAAGTTCCTCATATCTATATAGTCCCCCTTTTATAGTTTGCGTTTTCCCATTTGACTCGTGTTACCCTCTCAACTTGTAACTCTACTAAGTAATCAAAACTCAGAACTACGCGATCACTAGCTCCAGGGGGCCTCTCATATGTGATGTCCTCAATGTCTGAATTGCTCACGGTGAATACGAGATCCAGTCTTGCTGGTTCATGCTGTGTGTGTGTAAGTGGTGTGTGTGTGTGTGTAGGCAGAGAGAGAGAGAGAGAGAGAGAGAGAGAGAGAGAGAGAGAGAGAGAGAGAGAGAGAGAGAGAGAGAGAGAGAGAGAGAGAGAGAGAGAGAGAGAAAGAAAGAGAGAGAGAGAATATAAAAGAATACAAGGTACTACCCTGCTTTCCTATGTTCCATTCCTTTACATTTAGTATGGCTCATGCCAAAACAGGAAGTATTTATTTACCCCTAAATATCTGTTGGAATCCGTTTCTTCAGTCAGTTAAGGGAAAATTATCATTAAAACTGATCTTTGTATAAGCAAAACAGTAATTATGTAAAACTGAACATTGTTTGATGATAATCAAATAATTTCTTATTTTGGTAAATAAATCAGTAGCAGTAATAAATAATTATTTAATGACAAAAAATATCTTAAAATTCTTATCAATTTTTTCCTTTATATTTTCACTGTAATTATTTTACACACTTTTAGAGCATAATTGTTGGTGTTACCACACCCACGAAATATGATGAAGAAGATATTAAACAATGTCTGGAGTCTGGAGTGTCAGTGGGCAGCAGAGAACAAACAACGGGACGTCTGATCGTTGTTTGTTTGAGTTACATCATCACTTCAAAGTCTTCATGGTATGATGATGAGGCCGCGTTCAGCACCCAAGCTGAGGTAATAGCAAATTTATTGTTATACACAAATTAATTACAAAGTATCCTTGAATGAGGATCCAACTGTTTTTTGTCTTATTTGTCTTTCATCTGTCATTATTTTCGTTTATTACTTAAAAACCTATTACAAGCTGCTTTCTCACACTATTGAAGATTGAGATACTTAGGAATCTTTACTGTGGAAACTTTTCGAAGCCAGTAGCTTCTTTAATCCAATACAGAGAAGAACAATAGAAGATAAGGAGGAGTTTGAGGTAATCAATCCCTCAGCCTGGTGTTGATGTGTTCAGTCCATCAATCCTGAGTGATGTAGAGCATATGCGTGAGTTATATACTGAAATCAGTTGAGTTGAAACAGAAGTAGGTGAAGTCACCAGTGGAAAAATTCACTAGTGTAAGTAGGTCATGACTACAGTTTAGGCAAGTATTGAAGAACACCAAAATTGTGCATAAGTTTCTCATTCTTTAACGTGTGTGTTTTATAAACCATTTACATCATATGTGTAAAACACGTCAACATTCTGGGATCATGTTACACAAAATACTTCAACGCAAGATATTTTTTTTTTTTATATTTTATTTAAAACGTAATACAAATATACATAGGTACATATATCAATATGTAACACTGACACTGGTGATGAGCAATAAACATTCACTGCACAATCTACTGAATAAGCACATACATAAAGACAATAAAATAAATTTAACACAACGTACAGACTTCTTCAACGTTCGTTATTTCACAAGTACACAAGGTTCATAGATATAGTGGAATCTACTCATTATTGCTTACACTCCCCCCCCCCCACCCCCACCAATGAATACATTGTACATTCCTCTGCTACTTAAAATTAAAAAATGACTTGAACAAGGACAACATCAATAACACATTATATAAATACATAACAATCCAGGCAACACCTGACACTATACTATATACAAGTTTTTAAAACATATCACGATTCAAGAAGGAATAAAGGCATAATAATAAAGGCCACAAAATGGCTATAAATAAAACTCCTAAATTACAACCTCAACACAATAATAATGCACCAAGCTTAATAACAATCACTCATAATACAACTCTCAACAAATTACACAAGACCTAGAAATGCATTATTAAGAAACCTGTGCTACAACACAGTTGACCCATCATCCCTCCCCCCACTCACACAACACAGGTGACCCATCATCCCTCCCCTCACTCACACAGCACAGGTGACCCATCATCCCTCCCCCCACTCACACAACACAGGTGACCCAATCACTCCCTCCCCCCACTCACACAAAC